ATGGATGCTCTGGGTTTCATCCAGGACAGTGGTTTTGACACTCACCAGACCCTGCCCACCCTCTTTCCAGCTGGTGTACAGTCTCTGTGTGTTGGACTTGGGGTGGAAAACTCTGTACATTGTGAGGAGCTTCTGGGTCTTCATATCAGCATCCTCTATGTCCTCCTTTGGCCAGCTCATTATACTGGCAGGGTATCTGATGACTGGCAGGGCATACATGTTGATGGTGTGGATCTTGTTCTTCAGGACCTGTTTTATCCTTTGATGGTGTGTGTGTGTGTGTGTGTGTGTGTGTGTGTGTAGTGTGTGTGTGTTACAGTATATCTAATGACCAAAAAAGCAAGAGGTGGAGAAGTCATTTTAGCAGTGATTCCTAACTTTTTCCTTTAGTTGGATCACAATACTGTCATAGAAAACTCATAAGAAATACTACATGAACCAGGAAACAGTAATGTAGCATCTGAAGGCCCCATGGCTTCCACGGGAGTCCAAAATGCTACAAAAGGCATGTGTCTTTTTTTAATTAAAATATCTCAAATGTTGTTAGGTCATCCCATAGTATGAACTTTTGGTATTCTTGCCTGAAATCATGCAAGATTCTGAGCAGAAATGCCAGCAACTTGTGATTTTGACCCTGGATTGCAGGTTGGGAATCAATGTGTTGTAAGAATTGTTGAGATTTTCTACTTTCATTTGAAAGCAAATGTGTATACAAACTGGGCTGGAGCAGCAGTCTACTGTAGGAGCTACGCTATTGTTCTGAGTGCTTCCTCCAGAAACATTCCATCAGACATACCTTTAAGCTGTGTGGACTTCAACTCCCAGAATTCCCCAGCCAGCATGCTGTGGAATTCTGGGAGTTGAAGTCCAGATAGCTTAAAGTTGCCAAGGTTGAGAAACACTGTCATAAATAAATATTCATAAACTACTAGCATTTTGGAATGGGAATATAATTTAGACAAGGCAGGTGGTTTATGTAAGGGGGAAACCAGATTCTGGTCAAATTAGCATATCTTGTATTCTTAAGAAAAATATTAAGAGATGCATATTCTGCTGTGTTTCTGTTGTAATTTGGCTCTTATTTCATATGTTGGACATATTTGGAATAAGGAAAGCTAAGATATGGTATTATCATTGTGTCATATTTCATTCAGCAAATCAAATCTATGCAACAAAGGACACATGTCTGAGTGCTTAAGGGTTCCAGTTCATTCATATTTCTGTAAGAAAGCAAGCTGACAGATGTGTCAAAAGTAAACAAGATTTATTATATCATCAGTCAGTCATAGTAATGCCAGCCTATCCCCCGGAGGAAGCATGTTTACATATCGGCATTAATAGCATGTGTGCTCTCACATCTGGAAAGGCAGGGCAGCTTTTAAACATGCCATTTTTATAGTTGCAACTTTTTTTGCTTTCTTCTAAAATCTCAATTGCCTTAAGAAGAAAATAATGAAAGTGGAATCTCTTACCAAAAAAGAAATTATAGTATGTTGGTAGCAACAGGGGCAGGCATTATCTGTGTCAACACTCCAAATGTGGAATTCCCTTGCTTGGGAATTTTTTAAGGACTTTATGAACAAGTGCAGTACATAAATATAATTTTTACAAACAAACAAACAAATAAATAAAATGTGCTTCCTTCCTCTCTATATTGTTGTGGTAAGGTAGTTGAGGATATAGACAGCATCCAGCTTCTGGAGTATATTTTGCTGGCCCACCATTGAGCTACAAAGCAAGCGATAAACACTTTCACCTGGTGTATTTCTTCTGTAAAGACACTACTGCTTAAGACTGAAGAGGGGCTCTATATAATAATAATAGAGCCAGTTTGGTCTAGTGGTGAAGGCTCCAGGCTAGAAACCAGGAGACTGTGAGTTCTAGTCCCACCTCAGGCTAGCTGGGTGACTTTGGGCCAGTCCCTCTCTCTCAGCCCAACTCACCTCACAGGGTGGTTGT